AGGACTTTAAAAAGTATTTGTATTTCATGTATTATATAACTGCATTTGGCCCGCAGCCATGGACAGATTTTCATTTTGGCTCCCTCGGGAAAAATGTTTGGGCACCCCTGATATAGTCAATTAAATCAGACACATGAATCTAATTAAGACTAGTTCCACAAATAATCTGTACAATGCGAATGTGTTTGCACAGTAAAAGAGAAAAACGGAATCTTACAAAACTACTGGCCAGATGTGTAAAAAGTTCCCATAATAAGATCAATGTTTCCTTATTTGATTTCTTGCCGTTTGGATTTTTTTTGCCAAAYGCTCCCAAACGCACAGGAAGCACATTCAACATTTCCTGAACGAACAACAGTAGGTGCACAATTAGTAGCATTCCAGTGTGCAAACTTGTTCCTCCTCACCGAACATGGCCAAAATACACACACACATGAAAAACACCTTCGCATTGAAATGGGCATGATGTAGACATACAAACAAATGAACTAATGCACCATTACCAGAAGGATGTTCATGGCAGTTGCACAAATACACACACATGCACACATAGATTTTGACTAATGTTTGTGGAAAAACAACTCCAACGGGCTTCCCTCCCGCCCTTCTCTAACCCTTCAGTCACTCTCCACCCGTGAACTCAGGATAATAGCTGTCCAACACCAGTCGCTCGCCACCCCTTGCCAAACATCATCGGCTGCGTAAACACAACCCTGTCACACACAGGCGCAGGGCAGTCCGGCTGGTCTAGGTTTCTAGAGCCGGACTGGCTGGCTGTGCGAGGCCTCCTCATAACATTCGAGTCAAACCGTCAGTCAATAACACACCAGTGCCAGGACTGCGCTGTTCATATTCAGGTCCCACGGCTCTCCGTGTTGGCATGCACATACATGCTGTAAACAACCACATGTGTGCATGAATACATCATGTGCTAACTCTCAGGTGAATGCATTATCTCGCACGCATTCAAATACAGTCTGCTGACAGCCCACGCCTCTGTTCAAGGGAAAATGTGCCTGGCAGCCAGAGAGCTGTTCTCAGTAAACAGCTACAATGGCAGCCACCAGACATGGGTGTCAATGGCGGGAAGCAACAGTAATTCTGGGACCGGCAAACTATTGTGCAAGAACTTACAAAAGTTCACATTTAATTCGCAGCCAGAGCTCAAAACACTGATGACAACTGTTGGCCTCACAAAACAGCTGCTTTGAAATCTGCCAGCTGAACACAATTCCTTGTCATGCCACGGAGTCAGCACACTTGTGAAATTTACTGATAAGGAAACAAAACACCAAATTTCAGCAGGAAAACACAAGCAGCCAGACGTGAGGCTTTTAGTCACCACACTGTAGCTGAGGAGCTTTATTTACAGTGGTGTGACTGAYGCGGCAGAGGTGCTATAAACTGCCATTAGAGCAGAGCTGGATTCCAGCACAGGCCTGAGGAATCCAACCTGGCACATTGTCTGTCTCTGGGCTTGACACAGCAGTCTGGGTGCCCAACGCCAGTCCGGCAGACATGTAAACACTGCACATACTGACATACAGGAGTTTTGAGTTCACTCCTCRCATGCAAACACACCGCTCCTCGTTTTCTCGTTTCTATGAATAAGCATAACCACATGTGAAAACTGGACTTGTGGGAAAAAAAAGTTAAAGCAACTGCTGGGACTGACTGTGTTTATTTTTAGGCTATGTTGCCCATTAATGGGTTTGGCTATTAATGTGAGACGGAACGAAGGGGTGTAGCAGTGCCGCACAAGTAGATCTTTAAAATGGCTTCATGCAATAAAAATGTCTTCCACTTTGTAATGTTGCAATGATACGTTGGTGTTCGGAGAATGTGTCTGTCATGAATYTCAGCTACTACCACATTAAATTTTAGCTCATTATTTGACATTTTTGACTAAGTTATAGCCTTTTCTGTATATCTTATACTGTCACATTGAATCAAGTTGACTGTCCTGCTTTCAATGCAGTGGGCTATTAAAGGAGTCACTCAGTGGACAATAAGAAATTACAAAACAAAAACAGAATTTTTTTTACAGTTCATTTAGTCGCCATCATCATTAAAAAATCTTTGAAACTTCACCTCAGTGTTTTATCATTATCTTGGAAGAATCAACAAAATGTATATTTAACAGTAGCATTTCCTTGTCAGAACTGCAGCTAAATTCGTTTTAATCTCTCTTGCTCTCCTCCATGTGCGAACACACACCTCCTCCTATATCAAAAGATACCCCCCTCCATCTATTCCTAGCCCAGCCCCCCTTCAGGCATTCTAATCTTTTAATTAAATCTGTTGTAATTATAACAAAATAACTGCAGACTTCCATCAGTGAAAGAGAAAATGAATGGGCCAGAACGAGCCAGCAGTCACAAGAAGCTCCTATTTCTTTGCTGCAGRGATCTATACCCCTATTTCAATTAGCGCCTCAGTTCACCTCTGAACACATTGAGGGAAAACAAAGAAGCCCGTGCGCCTGTAAATGTGTGTATGACGCTGCCAAAAACAATCCGTTTTCCTCAGGCTCTCACATGTATCGCTTGTGAGCATCACAGGGGTAAAACAGTGCTCGAAAAGACCAAGCTGCGGCCGTACTTTGGTGAGAAACACACGCTCTCCCTTTTTTTAAGTGTAATGGCATCATTCTTCTAACAAATGAACACCGACAGAGAGGAGATCTCTCAAATGGCTTTCCTAGCAGTTGACTAATTCAGTTCTCATTGACGTCTGACTAAATCAGTGTCCATTATCCTTGTGTGTGGGGCAGCTCAGATGTAGTACCAGCTCCGTGGCATAAGGCACTTAAGAGCATTACACAACCCAAGCTGGTTGAAAGGGTCTCCTTTTCAGCAAGCTGACAAGGCCGCCACACATGCAGTGGGTCTGATATTGGCCAGGCCGTAGCCTCTTACAAACCTCTGACACTGAGGTCTCCCTCTCAGGAACAAAGAAGAAAAAGAAAAACAGGAAAACTGACCACACACTTTTAAGTTCGCCAATTGTCCTGGGCTAACAGCCAACAGCAGTGACACTTATTACCTCATCAGATTTACTGCCAGGACAATAGGATATACTCATCTGGTGGAAGATTTAGAGGTTTTCCACAAGTGAGTAAGATATCTGGTACACATCCGTGTTTTTTACGAGCTGCTTCTCCTTTTATTTTCTGTGCATATGATGGCAACAATTCTTTGCTGGAAAAAAAAAAGAGTGAGTTTGTTGTGCACACGGATCATGCTTCACCAAAACGTGGCATCAGGAGCCAGGCAGGTCCTTCTGTTGTGCAGCTGGCTGAGCCTAATGAGATATCAGACTCAAACATCAATTCATCAGCTTCATTGATGAGGACAATGCAAGGCAACTGCCTGAGTAAAGAGAAGCATTATGCTCGTTGTGCAAGGATAGGGCGGCCTTGTTTACAAAGGTTACCAGGCACAGAGGGTTTGAAACAGTACACCAAACCATCCTAAACKTTGCTCTTCTCAAATTGGTTCTCGAACCTTTAGAAGTCGCTTCTCAGACCACCTTATAGCTTTGATTTTGAGAAACAAGTGGGGGTAAAAAAATGAGTTTACGTAATCTGAGGGCTGATTTATTTTAATGTACAAATGTGCATGAATGGGTTAAAAGAACGAGGCCACAGAGGCCTGATTGATTAAATAAACACATCTCATCTTGTTATCATGAGGGCTCCCCTAGCCGAGCAGAGCCGAGCAGAGCTGAGCTGGCTGGAGTCCCCCTCTGGCCTCAGCCTCCACTGACAGGGCATCTGTCTTCATTAAAGCTCAGCCAGTGTGCATGACGGCCACTGAAATGCTGGTGTCTTCACGATTAATGAAGACAGATAACTCCCCCCCTCAAGAGGCAGTAACAAGGAACAAAAAAGCAGCAGGACGAGCAAACAGAAGAATGGAAGAAAAAAAAAGGGTCACCATCACCTTCCAAGAAGCTCGTTCTAACGAGTAAAAAAAAGAAAAAGAAAAAGAAAAGAAAAGCTCAGCTGCTTTTCATCTGATTTCTTCAAATTCTTGATTGTTTTTCCAGTCATATCTGCTTCGACTCCCTCCACACTTTTCCCACCATGCAATWGCTTAGACACCCCACCACCTCCTTCTCCCCCACTGTCGCACACCCACATAGGAGAAGCAGCCACTTGGAAGAGTACAAAAAAAATGCTGTCATATCAGAGGTTTTCCTTAAAACTGGAGATGGATAAAATGGACCAGAATTTCCCCTGGTTTTCTTCATTAATTTATTCACTTAATAATTCATCAACTTATTAATTCATGGCAGTTTGGCTGAAGAAAAATCTCATTATCCATCTAGTATCCCGAAAAAAAAATGCATGACTCCAGAAGGCTGCAGCAGGATACACAAATTCTTTAGCATTTATAATATTAAAACAGCCCATAAGTAACATTACTTCCCAAAATCTACAGTATTGTTCCCACTGAGAATAAAAGATCCACTAAAACTCAGCGTTTTTGCTTCCTGTCACAAATAAAACTCTCTCTTTTTTTCTCTCTTTGACATGGCAAGGTCAAACCTCAGGTGGCTCTCATTCTCTCTGAAACTAGACTCCATGGGTGCAGTCTCATAAGTCAAACACCAGCCCTGACACAATAAAGGAAATAAACACAGCAGAACAGTGAAACTCATATCCTGGCAGAAAGTTTCTTTTATGTGGCAGGCAGCTAAAACTGGAAGTGAAGGAGGGAGGGAGGGAAGAAGAGACTGTCTGTCCCAGGCTTTTCCTGAACTGATCTGTGGCCCCTGACAGCAGCCCCCTTAGCTGAGCCCTAAGGGGTAAACAAGCCTGCAATGAGAAAAAGAGTGTGTGTGTGTGTGTGTGTGTGTGTGTGTGTGTGTGTGTGTGTGTGTGTGTGTGTGTG